CACGTGTGTTACACGTTGCGTCGAAAAAACCCAACATGCCTCCAGAACGGGTCGGAATTTCAATCCCTTACTCTTATTGTGCTCTGTTCTGATACGTTCGCTCGTAGATAAGAAAGAGCCCACTCAGATAACCGGTATCCAGTTATCTTGTTTGACGCTGGATCCGACCATCCCACGCAAATGCGAGACAAGGCAGAACCGCGTGTGGAGAGCTTTTATCGTCTTAGCGAGAATATCGACACTCATATGTCAAGGGTGACCCTGACCTGATGGATGAGACCGGATTAACACGGATGGAGTTGTCGGTAGATTGGCGTGGGTTGCCCACGCGCTCACGCAATGACTAAAACCGGCGATGAGCCATCTTGGGGGAAGCCTGAATCTCCAACACCTCTCCCCCTTGACTTTGGGTTGACTTGGAGCAGTGTTGGATGCTGTCGTTTCCGACTGCTCTGTCTTGGGTGTGATGATCGGCCTGCTGCTAACTGACCTCTGTCGGCAAGAGGAAAGCGTCCAACAGCACATCCTGTGGGACTCTGATCTGGAGATTTGTTGTCGTAGAACGTACACGGCTGTTCGAATGTCAAATGTAGTGGCAGATTTCGTACTTGGAGGCTCCAGGCGATTGTCTTGTACCGGAATCATGGCGGAGTTTTTTGTTTGCAATTTGCGACCCACCAGTGCCTCAGATGGCGACTGTCGGTTTGGAAGAGTCTGGAAAAGATAGACCCTGTATCGGAGCCTGAAGCAAAGGGATTAACGAGCGTGCGTCAACGCGATTCACACCAAATTCATGTCTTGGACGCATCACTGGCCACGCTGGTCGTTAGCGCCACACCAGCTGGGGCCGATTTTTCGAAGTTTAAAGGACGGTTCCCACTGGCAGTGAATGGTAGACACGGAGCCTGTGTGTACATCTCAAACAATTGCAGCACAACACGTAAAAGCTGCATCAGATGACTTAAGCGAACTTCGCCAAGACAAAATGGTGTGTGCTGCAGTGACAATCAGACGGTGGCTGAGAAGCGGGCCGGTTTGTGTGGGCCGCTTGTCTACCAACCGCTTTCCCCCTACTACTAACAACACCCATGTTTGAGTCGCTGAACACAGTACAACCGCGAGTCACATTTTGAGTGAAATAAATGATGTACGCAGTTTATGCGGAATCCCTTAAGCATAAAATGTCTAAGCGTGTGCACCAAATGGAAAACACAACCTAGGTCAACAAGCAGTGAATGGACTTATTGTGGGCAATTCTGATGGATATTGAAATGTATACTTTTTGTGGGAATCTCAAACTTAAAAATCGTTGGTAGATCTTGAACACTCTGATGCCTTGACGCCGGAGCTGGATATTTGCTTGTAGAAGCTTCTCCTGTGTACCTGGTGGGACATTACGGACTCCTGGAAGCTGGCCATCAGACGGTGACTGCTGAACGCTACAGCCAACAATTGAACAAACTCAATGATCAAATTGATCACGAAAGACCAGGTTCTGGGCCAGGAAGCAGGCAAGTCAGACTGCGGCTGCCGCATGACAACGCTCGACCACCTCACGTTGGTCGCGTTGCGACTCAGAAGATTCCCTTGAAATTGGGATGGGAAGTTCTCCCATACGTGGCATATTCACCATACTCGGCCCCATCCAACCACCATTTGCTGCAGTCAATGGAGTGGCAGTTCGCCTTAGTGGACAAACACTTCTAGATGGTGGACGACGTGCGTCACCTCGTCGTCAATGCCTTCGTTGCCTCGAAGCCTCCAAGTTCCTCTCGCGACAGCATCCATACCTTACCTGAGGGATGGCGCAAGGCCACAGAAAACGATGGACAATATCTCCAAGACCAAATTCGTTGTTCTCTACTTGTTTAAATCAAATACATTTACTAAAAATTCTGAAAAATTATGTCATAAAAATACTACTCAAGTTAAATTCTCCGATAAAGTCTTGACGCACCCAAGTACATGAAAAACAACACAGTCGCCTTACTTATCCCCGTAAACGAACCTTTTGTTTTGGCATTCTCAAAACAACACTTGTAATTTTCGCCCAAAATTTGTTTTGTAGCTTTCTGGGCCTACTACCTGAATATGTTTATTGTACTTCAGGCACAAAATGTCTTTTTCCAAGTAGGCAGTTTGCAGTCGTGGTGGATCTCAGGCAATGCCTTGAGTCGAAAAAAGTACAAACATTTTTAAGTGGGCTACGAAATGGTCTTAATTCAAAATATGTAAATAATCACTAGATCGAATTCGCCTGTTTGTACACAATCAAAACATGCGTTTGAAATACCAGCCGCATTCCTCAGTGCCTGTGGAACCTTATGAAGAAAAAGGCTCTTCTTGATAGTTGAACAAGAATTCCCAACTGATCTTTGGGAGTTGCAAAGCTTGTCCTACATGTCTTTGCAGAATGCGACGGATAAAAGCTTCTTCATCAACCAGACGTTTGTCAAAGCTACTGCGAGACTTTGGTCCCATAATTCTTGGAAGGTCTTCACTGAAACCATCTGATGCAAGGTGTTGAATGAGATTGACTACAACGTTATTCTTTGTTATAATCGGTGGTGCATAATTCGTGAAACACGTCAACTGTGATTACTTGCACCTCAGATAAATATAAGAATACCTGGTTAAACCCCGATTTACTCGGGACTTTATAATAATCGGCACGATTAGTTTGACTGACCTACACGGAAACAGGGTTGGGAAGGGTAGCCAAGTGAATCTGGTAGAATGGATCCAGGCTGCATGTTTAAAACTACAAGAAGCGACAATCAAATTGACCTGCCATTCATCCGCACATCTTCGATCTAGACGAAACAGCCAGAACCGCATTTCGTGAATGAAATCAGGTCAGTTCAGTTTTCAAACAATCGTAATGAAATGTCAACGAGAAGTCTATGCATCGAGAGAAGCGTTTGCCCTTGTGGGGTGAATAGTCGAGAAGTTTATCAGCTAACAGTGGTATTAGCAAGCAAGTTTCACACAAAAGCAGTACACTGAGATGCTGTTGATGTTGTTGGTGTAACAACCATGACCTCTGGACTTCACACGGTCCTACTGTTGCTACCTTGTCCCATAGACAGGGCGCTGAATGAGGTCGTTGTCACAAGGAGGCAGTGACTGAGCTGACGCTTCAGGCAGTTATTTAATGTCCTCAATTTACCCGATACAAACGCATGCTGACCAATAACAGTTGTGCAAAAGCAGATTTGGTCTGGATAGTTCAGGGGATTATCTACAATGACTCAGGCCTGAATTGATAACCAATTCAAGAACTGTGTCTTTGTGTAGTGGCTGTCTAAACAGCGCCTGGTTTGTCTTTAAAGTTTCGTATGCTTTGGAACTTCAAAGACAACGATCCTATTCACGGACCGAGGTACGAAGGAAGTAAACAACCATTCACTGTGTTTCGACTACTAACAAACAGCGCACGTCTGGTACAATCTTTACAGCAACGCCACTCAACATTCCACATCTTAGTGGAATGGAAAATGTCTTGAGAGGCCAAGTTCTTTGAAGCCAAATCATTTGCCGCATTTTGAAGGTGAGGTGCACGACTGCCTGAGATTGCGGACCTCCTTTTCACACCTTCTAACTCCTGAAGTGGTCGACAACACAACTTTCCCCAATCCCAACAGGTTGTGACGACTAATAGACAAGAATAAGTACGTGTCCGATTGTTGACAGGTTGCTTTCACATCACCTTTCCTAGAAGTCAGGCCAACGAACACACAACGATACTAGCGGAACACGTAAGGCAAATGGACACCTTCATTTGATTTGCCAACAGAACTTTCAAATCTACTCGTCCACATAGTTTCCATTTCATAATTAGATTATAAAAGTTAGGCGGCTTAGTTAACCAATGGCCACTTAGAAAGGGATCAACCAATGGGGCGAGGAAGCGCTCGAGATGACTTCAGGCGTAATAACGTGCACGACAGATTTCGAAACTGGTGCCTGTCATTTTACCAATAAACTGCGGACCAGGAGGCATTTACATTCTCAGCCCAAACACCGAGCGATTCATGTGGCGCGGGCAACCAACAGCTCACTTTAAACAACGTTAACCAATGAGGTGAGGGTGCGGTGGAAGTGAATTAATGTGTAATGGTGTGCTTAACAGTTAAAAAAACTGCAAAATAGCGAAGTTTAGGGTCATGAAGAATGCTTACATTCACAGCAATCCGCGTAATTATATGAGCCAACTAATTTCTCCTTACAAATTTTGCCTATTGCACTGTCTTTTAGCATCAGCGCCAGTGATGTCAGTTAGTTTTACAATGCGAATGGAGTCAAGAATGGAGTCTGTTTCACTGCCTAGTACTAACCAATCAGAAGGGAAGTAGATTTCGTAGTGGAGGGAGACTACTTCATTAATGAAGTTTGACGTGAATGGGTTGAGCGAATTTGCCGTTGCCTGTATTTTTGCAGGGCCAAATCGAGACAAGTCTCCGACAGAGCTGTTGACAGAGAAACGCGGTGTTGTGATTCGCGTTGATTCACACTCGTTAATCCCGTCACTCCAACCTCCGACACAGGGTTCCCCTTTTTCGCAGCATGTCGCCAGGTGCGCGGATCATCAACTCTGGGTTATCCCCACATCTAGATATCGATGTTAGCACACCTATGATTCACACATCTGAGGTACAAATGCACACACACGAACGTCACAGACGACACGATGCCAACGGGGTTTAGATTTGAAGTCAACGGGTGTGTCCACGTCATTTTCGACCTTCTTCTTCATCGCAGTTATCAGGGTGGCGTAATCGGACCAGATCCAATTCATTGGCCCAAGCGTCGTTCAAAGCCACATTCCATTTGAACGATTAGGACAGGAAAACATTCGATTCAAAGGAAGTGGAACAAGCACATCAAGTGCACCTCGGTGTACTCTACTGCCACGATTCGAGGCCTGCGGTACCACGTCAGCAGGGTGGTCAGCAGTTTAAAGAGGCCGCCGCCCTGTGATTTAGTGGTGGAGACTTAAAACAATCAATCAAATCAAGCCTTGGTAAAAGGCGTCAACACGAGTACTGACATGGTTAACGGTATAGCTTGAGTGCACAGATAATTTATGACTCATCTGAAGCATTGCCACAGTGAGTTAAAACAAGACCCGGTAGGAGAAAGTTTGGAGATGGTGTTAGTGGTATTTCAAGATCAGGAAAATTGTTAATGAGATGGCCTGACTTAGTCATTGATTTTCCTAATCTCTAGTGAATAAGTTGGAAAAAAAACAGATTTACGATTTATCAAAGTTATTTATTCAGAATTCCTAGAGGAAAAGTTATCGCTTACAGCTTACTCGACTCATTTTGAAATAACAATTTCTCTCTTCATCTTCGGTATTTTCCAACTCATTCTTTCCTGCTTGAAACGCATCCAGTTTGGATGATTGGATGATGAAGAGGATGCCAGAGGTCTATAATGAAATATCCACAATTGCTGAAGTCATCTAGCAAATTTAGTCGCCACTTCGTCAATTGTCGCTTACAATGACTCGCCATACATCACTTACACATTGTGGTCTGTGATAAAACCAAAATGTGTGCGTAGTTAGGTGTCTACTGTGTGTGTGTCTCTATGCCCTCCAGGTCCTCGAATTCCAGCCCGACGCCTCCACATTCAACGGCAGTCACGAGACCTACTGTCCGATCACGGTGTCAGGACCGCCGTGTCCGCCAGCAGGCCTCTTCGACATCTCGCAGTGCTCCTTGCCCGGCCAAATCTCGCCGCCCATCTACGCCTCGATGCCGCACTTCCTCCACGGCCACGCCGACCTGCGCGCGCCGTTCAAGGGACTCCGCAAGGCCAATCCACGCATCGACACCGTCAAACTTCTTGTCGAACCGGTAGGGTCGTGTTTCCTGATCGATTATGCTGAGGCCATTTACCACACGTAGAAGTAACCCAGGAGGGAAACAAGTCCAGAGATGGCAGGCACGACCGTTTACTAGACATCTCAACCAGGTTGAGTGAACATGTAAAGAGACATGACTAAAGCGGGTGGTGGTGGTGGTGGTGGTGGTGGTGGTGGTGGTGGTGGTGGTGGTGG